CATGCAGGGCCCCTCCTCTCCTCCAGCCCTGAGCGGCGGGAAGGAGAACCAAGCGAGGGACACGGGGAACGGGAGGGCACAGGCTGCCCCCATGAATTCTGATGACCCTCGGCTGGGGAAGGCACGGGGAGATGCCACCCAAACCTGCATGGCTTTGGCGGGGAAGTCCATGTTAAGAGATCTGTGTCTCCTCGGCCGGATGCTGCCCATCTTCTAGCGGGCAGGAGGCTGCCGCGGGCTCTGGACAGCAGGGGCTTTCCCAGCAGAAAGGACCGACGGGAAGCCAGGAGGCAGCGTTGAGGCTCAGAGCCCGTGTGGGTCACAAGGCTGCCACGTGGCTCTCCCGGGGAATGGGAAAGCCAAGCTCCATGCCTACCACCCTGCTAGGAAAAGCAATAAACTCCATGAACGGAAACTCAGCCTCCTCCATCCCCGAGGGGAGAGCACCACACCAGGGACACGAGGGAACGGCAGAGCCCCGGAAACACAGCCCAGGGCTGCACCCTGGAGCTCAGTGCCTGGAGCGAGAAATGCCGACCCTAGCAGAGCGCTGCAGTCATCCTGGGTTGCAGGCAGCCCTGGTCCAGCAACCCACAGCAATGCTGCTGCCTCCTCCTTGGGAGAGACAGAGGTTATCGGACTAATGAGAGACAAGCCAGGGCACAAGGAATCGCTAAGCTAGAAAATCACAGAATCTTAGAGCAATAGGACTGGGAGGGGCCTCGTGAGATCGTCAAGTCCAGTCCCCTGCCCTGACACGTATCTGTCCAACCTGCTCTGAACTATCCCCAGGGACGCAGACGCCACAACCCCCCGGGAAATGCTTAGTCCTGCTGAGGAGCGAAGCAGGAGATGCAGAGGAAACACCTGGAGATGGCGTCTGGCTGGATACAGAGTGAGCCGGGGCAGAAGGAACAAGTTGATCCTCAACGGTGACCGTTGGCACTTCTCCTGCTTCCTCCTTCCGGCTCCTCTCTTCCCTTCTCTCCCCCGTCACTCCCTGCCCTGTTCTCCTGCGCTGCAGCTATTTCTAGTCCCCTCTTCTCGGCCAGCCTCACTCCGCACGACCTCCGCCCTGCCTCAGGCCTCCATTTCCAGCCACTGGCCTCCCCCGGCTCGCCTAGATCCTCAGCTCCCCATCTTCCTCTGCAACCGCCCCGAGCTCCCCAAGCGCCAGGACCCCGCAGGGCCTTGGAATCCAACACCTACCACATCGCCCCAGAGGGCAAGAAAAACGCCTGTCTCGTGTAATGGTGGGGGCAGGGGAAACATTTCGAGGAAATGGCCAGACCACAAGGTGATCCGCAACCACAGACAGCCAGGAATTTTTCCACAACATGGAGCCAAAGTCGTTCGTGAATCCAGGTCGGTTTCAAAACATTCTCCCAGTGGGGAAAAAAAAATGTTTCCAGCGCCCGGCAGGGCAGCACAGGGTGGGGCGCTGATCTCAGCGCCTAGCCCTGCACGCTGCAAAGCGACTGGCGATGGCTTGAATACGTTTCCTTTTGCAGTCTGCCGGGCACAACTCGCCCAGGCCATCGTTCCTGGGGCTTCACAGAGATTTCCCAACAGCAGATGAGCTCTGGCAGTCACAGGCTTCTGCCCACTTCCCGCACACTGGCCCTCTCTGTTCCACCCTTAAATCTCCTAGTGAGCCCTGTAGCAGTTTATCACCCTCCACCAGCTAAAAGTTACCCTGATTTTCTAGCCTGCCCCCCCACTAGGCTGTTGCTCCTTGCTCTGCAATTAAAATAAGCTGCCTTTGCTTGCCCCGCCAGTGGGTTTTGCATGGGGGGGATGCGTGTAGCACCTTGGAACCTGACTGTCCGTACTCACGTCCAGTGTATTGAGAGCTGCCCTGCAGGAGGGCTGAGCCCTCGCCAAGCAAAAGCGCCGCTTGGCTCTCGTTTCTCAATACTCTTTCATGGGCAGCAGGCACAGAGCAGTTCCACAATTTGCGGCCAGTGGCTTCCCACAAACTGCAGGCAGCAAGGCCCAGCGCTCTGGAGCCTCGCAAGGCCCCGTGGGAAATGAAAGCCCTGCCTGATGCAGGGAGGGGAGTTAGAGCAACATGGAAATCTCTGGTTTTGTTGCCAGGAGATGAAGTTGAATTTGTGGCTCACGGGATGCGGCGGCTGCCTGTAACCAGCCTCGGTGCACAGTTGTTAGCCAGTGTCCGATTCGGGAGGAAAAACCTGGGGATTACATGGTGTGTGAGTTTTTATTAGACCCAGGTTGTATCCTGCTTGTAACAGGCTGGCTCACCCTTTAAGGGCTGGGGCGTACCTGGGTCGGACCAGGCTGCGCAGGGCATCAGGGGGCTATAGCGAAGGGGAAAGCCCAGGAAGATTCCGGAAAAGAGAATGGTCCCACAGGCTAGACCCGGATGCTAATGGGTGAGAAGCCAAAACCTAAGGCCCCTGTCAGGAAAGGCCTAGGAGTGACCCAGTCAGAGGGTAAAACCAGGATGTGCCCTCAAACCAAGCTGTTGTCTTTACAGCGCGACACAGAGTCCTAAAAGAACAGAGCTTTTGAATGCAGAGATCACTATGCCCAGCTGCAGCAGGGATGTAAAAACCGGGATCCAGAAATATGAAAGGGGCAGAGAGTTGTGCACATTTCCGGGTGCCTATAACCCAGGAAGGGCATGCTATTGAAGGGCGTCTTCTCCTCCGAACTCCCTTTCTGCAGTCTCTGGACATAACTGCATTTGAATCCTTAGACAAGGACTATCGAAGCCTTGAAACGGGGGTTTTGATTCCTTGTGACAAGACCAGCCATTTTAAAGCTGAAGGTTAAAAAAAAAAAAAAAGTTCCCATGCCTCCATTTTATAAATTCTTTAAGCTGCGATTTTTTTAAATTATTAATGCTTCAAGAGAAAGCAATGCCCGCACTGCAGCATTGATTTTTCAGCAGACGGCATCATCAGCTTGCTGTCAAAGCAAGCAATTTTTTTGCAGTATGAAAGCCTTTCAAAACACAACTCAAACCGGGTTATATTTCTCAAAATCCGCTGCCATTATTTCAGAGAGTCAAAGGATTAAAACAGGGGGAAAACCTCCAAAAACCTGAATTTCTTCTACAATGCTGCTGCTAAAAATGTTGCATTGGAGATGTACGATATAGTGAGGTGTCACATATAGAAGGACTGCTTAACAGTGAAAATTGTAAGTTACAAACAAAACAGAAACTATCATCATCTGAATGCAAACTGATTTGACACTGCCTTGCAAATATACTGCCTTGCAAAGCAGGGTTACCCTGTCAATTTTAGTCCCTGGGTCTTACCCCCTCAAGGTAAAGGACCGCTGGAGGGATGAGATGAATTCACCCCGCACTACACTCTGTCACACACCCTGAAACAAAACAAACAGAAACTTTAAAAAGCCCTGCAATCCCAACCAATCACGTGCTCTGGTAGTAAAAGGCTTTTGTCAAAATATGATAGATGAGCAGCTCCCCCACAAAACGCTGCCACTTCATTTTTTCCGATTAGAGAACAATGAAACATATTTGTGTAAAAACGGCACCTAGGAAATACACCGCAAGGAAAAGATAAAACATCTGCACTTCTGTCTGTCTGCATTAATACAGCTACCTCTGTTCCATGCCCCTCGGAATCCATCCTCAGGTTTATTTTAACGGCATGGGCCAAAAGTGCCAAATAAAAAGAAAACAACCAAGGAGACACATTTGTTGGATGTGAAACGTGACTTGAAGCAGTCTAGTTTAAAAGCTACAAAAACGTAGTGCGAACTTAAAGCAATCCCATGCAGAGAACCAAATTATGTATAGTCCCCAGGGTTAAGACGATCCCTCAAGATCATCTCATCTGAGGAAGTGGGTTTTGCCCATGACAGCTCATGAGACTATATATATATTTGTTAGCCTGCCACAGACCTTCTTGTTGTTTTTAAAGTTACAGACTAACATGGCAACACCTCTGAGACAGGATTAAGTTGGTCATTTAAAGAGCAGGTCAGAACCCAGGGTGGAGGAAGCCAGCGGCGGGTTGACAACAGTGTTTTCCCTAATTTTCCCCACACGTGCAGAATTAATTTTGTTACGTGCACCCATGTATAACACAATTCACATGGCGGAGGTGTGGCCGAAGGGTTCAGAGTGGGGGAAAGGCTTTGGGCAGAAGGTTGGGTGCAGAAGTGCGAGGACTCCAGCTGGGGGTGTAAGCTCAGAGGTGGGGCTGAGGGTCTCAGGCAATGTTCCTTCTAAGCTTTTCCATCCACTTGCGGAATAATTGTGGTACGCGCACTGAGGCAGGTGTGAATGTGCACCACCAGGAGAAACACAAACCTAATTGCAGGTGCTTTGCAAATCAGCTGAGCGGTACTGGAATCTCTTTGGAGTTGCCACCCAAGCGCACAGCTTACAGTGAACACTGGCCGGCAGTGGGTTTTGCCCCAGACACGGGAAAGCTAGGTGCAGCAGCCCCAGCACCCTTACTTCCTGCCTCTAAGATAGCAGCAAGAGATGCCATTGTACTCGATGGGAACTCTCGGGCCATCCTCAGAAACAGGGAGGGCTACTCTTGCCATAATTCAAGACAGCTGAGCCACACCCTCACCTGGAGCGAACCAATTTTCGACACGACTCCAGGGGCCACAGTGCCAAGGAAAGGCAGGCCACAGAGATCTGACGGGAGACCTCTGCTGGGTCTTATGGGGCATCTGCGTTCCAACGCCGGGAAAGCAGCCCCGGAGAGGCATGGGGAAGGCCTCCATTTCAGGCAGCCTTGGGACTTCCCGGGGGCTCCCCTTCATCCGAGCAGGACATGGCAGAGCCCCGGTGTGCCGAGCTGGCAGCTAACGGCCGTTTTGATTTCTGCAGGGGTGGGTGAAAGGTGCTGGCAACACGTTCATAGGCACGGCGGGATGGTCCTGCGGCACATGCCTGTCCGGGGGGGAGGGGCTGCTGCAGGGAGCACAGGTTATCTAATGGGAAAGGGCCCACTCCATCTCCCCATGCCCCCCCTTGCTCTTACTGTGGAAGAAGCTCTTGGCCCTGAGGTAGCTGACGCTGAGGCGCAGGATGGAGAGTTTATCCAGGGTCGAGACGACCTCCTCGGGGAAAGGCAACAAGCCAGCCAGCCGCTCCAGCTCCGAGTTCAGCCGGTCCCGATGGCGCTTGGAGGGGTTCGACTTCACCCCTTCCAGGGGCGGTGGCTTCACGCTGCCAAGGGAGGAGCAAAAGGAGACACATCACAAACCCACCTGTGCCTAGGGAGAGAGGCCACGCAGCCGAGCTGAACTGCAGACGAGGCCGATTAAATCAGTTGTCCTACAACACTAGTGTAGCACGCCATCTGGTATCCCACACTAGCTCCGCACGGCACCGCCCGGACCCAACTCCACACGTGACATTCCAACCGTGGGAGCAAATGCACGGAGGGGATTGGTTCCCCCTCGGAACGCAGCCGTCACTTATTGAAAAGCAGAGATGGGACAATGCTGGAGCGGACGCAAAGCCACGGGACAGGTATTTAGGGCCGGATCCGGCAGCCATGACATTCAGTGAGTTTTGCCCTTTACAGCAATAAATGCAGGATCAGGTCTCTCACAGAATGGATCTGAACTGAGTTTCTGTGCCTGTGTTTTAAATCTGACTGAAAAATAACACTGGATAGAAACACGAAATTCATGTCCAACGGGTTTCTTATTTAAAGAAAAATCACACTATGCTATATTATGTAAACACAAACAGTAAAAACACAGGCTGAACCTTTCTTGGCTGGCACCCTCAGCATCTGACCCGGTGCCATACCAGAGAGTTTGCCAGACCATGGGAGGTCAATATTGTCTAGCAGCATCACCAACACTTCCACTGCTTCCTGGGCTCTTTGAAGACATTGAGGGGTAAATTAGAGCGAACTAACAGCACAGAACACTGAGAGCCAGGACTGGTGGCTGTGAAAAAACTTTATGGGACTGTGGGAAACTTGGCCACACCCATGCTTAGTGGGCATCTGGCAAACTCAAATCATGCCGGACCATGGAGGTTGCTGGATCACAGAGTGCCGGACCAGAGAGGTGCAACCTGCAGTGACAACAATGCAGTGGATACATGGTTTTCGGATAAATATTTTTTTCAGTGACCCACCTCACACAGAAATACTGACTGTGGCAGCAAGATATGTTCAAAAAACGTGAATTCAATTTATTATTGTTATTATCATTAGCTAGCTAGCTAGGTTACTGAGTTTTTTCAGTGTGGAAAATTGTGGGCTCTTGTATGGATTGAATGATGACTGAATGACGTAACCCCAGCAATGTCCGTCACTAAGCCCAGATATTTTGTCAGGTGTCCATCACGCAACAAGGTGGTGGTCTCTACCCAAGTCCTGTAAGGGTCACCTCAAAGGCACCCACCTATCCCCCACATACCGCCTCTCAGCCCCAGAGATCCTGCCATCATGCTCCCCGACTTCCCAACCCTAACCGCGGGCGCAGTGGTTTCTTGCCTTCCATTTTCTCAGGCAACTTTTCCTAAAGACATGGATTTATTTCATTGTAAACCAACGAATCCTGGTTCCAGAGGGCACTTGCTGAATGCGTAAGGCAGGGTACCCCCCTCTGGTTTGCCTTCTAAATCTACTCTTGAACCGCTACCCCTTTGAACCTCTTCCCTTCCATTTTTAGTCTGCTCTTGTGGTTGAGAAAATGTCACAGGCTTTGCCCAGGCCATGCTGGTTTCTGAATTCCAGCCCTCATAGTTTCCACTGGTCAAAAAGGCTTCATATTTTAAGAGATTTTAAAGATTTCTAGCCAGCACTTCAACTAAACTTTGTAACTGAATGTTAAAATTGACCATTCGTCCCCATGAATGGATGCCAATCAACAAGTTAACCATTTGTGCTGGTTAAATTAACCATTAGTTCATCCGACATGCTAAGCAGGCCTTTATTTTAACTGCACTGACCTTTTAGGAAATTGCGTCTCTTGTACTGACAGTATTTGCTAAGCATGAAGAAAAGCAAAAAAGGAAAGTACCGGGTGATACACATCTGGCTAGGAAGCCCACACCTGAAGTTCATTTTGTCCTTCTGAAGATGCACCCCATAAGTGTGAGTCTTAACACTGGAAAAGGCAAACCCACACACTCCAGGAACAATCGGCTATTTGCCCTCTTTTTAAAGTCCACAAAACAAGGAAGGCAGCTCTTTGAACCCCAAATATTTCAAAAGTCTAGCAGGGTAATTTCTTTTAGGGCCTGCTCAGAGGATCTGCACTGGTCTAGCCGAGCAAGAGGGCAACATAAAAGACCACCCTTTCCATAATGAATCTTTATGAAGGTTATCAACTAAACCAGGTCAGCCCTTGAAGGGACAACTGTGGCTCACTAGCATCTTTTTCCAGTGGAAGCTCCTGAGGGTTTCAATCAAGTAGCTTATCCCCATACCCCATGGGAAGTCTTTGAAATCTTCCAAGGTCCCAGACAGGCTGTGGGGAAGGCTGTAGCCTATCTTGGTGGAAGAAGGGTGCGAGCTGAGGAAGCAGGGGTTTACCCACGAAAGCTCATGATTCTACCTATTTTGGTGTCACAGGATTGCTGGCTGGTTTTAAAGTTACAGGCTAAGCTGGGGACCCCTCTGAGACTTTTTACCCATGCCCGACAGTCCTGATGCAAACGCGCCGCAGCCCATAGACTGTGCGTCTAACATCCTGCATAAGTTCAGAGACGATGTTTCAAGGAGGGAAGGGAATTCAGCGGCACCGTTTTAGGAGGCAATTTCCCCCTGCTGGCTTTGCATTCCAGCGCCCCATCAGCCTCCAGCTTTGGCTTTTCCTCCTTGGCGAGGACATACACCCCGCGAGGGGCTCTCCTTTCAGCCCGCCGTAGGGCGCCTGGAAACGAACGAGGGCTTTCCGGGGGGCAAGGGCAGCAGGAGGCAGAGCGCGGCGCAGCTCCGGGCCAAGCTTTGGGGCAGGCCCCCCCGCCCAACACTTGCTCCGCCAAGTTCTGGGCGCCAGAAGGGCAAAGCGCCCGCCTGGCAGGAGGACATACACCCCGCGAGGGGCTCTCCTTTCAGCCCGCCGTAGGGCGCCTGGAAACGAACGAGGGCTTTCCGGGGGGCAAGGGCAGCAGGAGGCAGAGCGCGGCGCAGCTCCGGGCCAAGCTTTGGGGCAGGCCCCCCCGCCCAACACTTGCTCCGCCAAGTTCTGGGCGCCAGAAGGGCAAAGCGCCCGCCTGGCAGCGCGGTGCCGCCGTGCGCCCCCGCCCCGCTACTCACGTCCCC